AATTGTATTATTTAATTTGAATTTTCAAAAACAGATTGGAAGGGAGAATAGGCACGCTAGTGGATGTTTAAAATCTTTCATTTATCTCTGTGTCAGCAGGCGGTGTGAGTGGTCAGGCAACGTGGAGGGATTTCACTGAGAAGAGAGAGGGAGAGAGAGAGAGAGCCAGCAGAGACAGGTCAGCAGACACATTGGAGCAGGAGAACAGGAGAATTCAGCAGCCATCGACAGAGCAGGAGAGCAGGAACACGTCAGCGGCTAACAGAGAAGGAGAGCAGAGACAGACAAAAGGTCGACAACCATGGCGTCCAACGATGGGGCCGTGGTGAAGGATCTGACGGCTGGAACGTTTGCAGGCGTAACACAGCTGCTGGTTGGGCACCCTTTCGACACCATAAAGGTCAAACTCCAGAGTCAACCCGTCCCCGCTCCTGGTCAACAGCCCATGTACTCGGGGGCGGTGGATGCAGTGCGGAAGACAGTCGGCGCAGAAGGTCCACGTGGGCTCTACAAGGGTATGGGTGCGCCTCTGGCCACCGTGGCGGTCTTCAACGCTGTGCTGTTCACTGCTAGAGGACAAATGGAGGCCTTGTTGAGGTCCAGTCCAACTGAGAACCTCTCTGTGTATCAGCAAATGGTAGCAGGAGTGGGTGCAGGGGTCGCGGTTGCCTTCGTGGCTTGCCCGACGGAACTCGTTAAGTGCCGTTTACAGGCACAGAGTGCTCTGGCTGGTGTGCCGGCAGCCGCTGGTGCTGCCACTTCAGCAGCACCTAGTTTTGCCTCATTGGAGCCCGCCATAGCTGCCTCGACTGCAGCACCTGCTGGTGCCTCTGCTGCCAGCATTAAGTCCTCCCCGCCACCCAGACCGGCGGCAGCAGCCCCGATCAAGATGTATAATGGACCTTTGGATGTCGCCAGGCATGTCATTCGATCCGAGGGTGGGGTTCTCGGTCTCTACAAGGGTATGGTTCCCACCCTTATGAGGGAGATGCCGGGAAACGCTGCCATGTTCGGCGGATACGAGATGACGAAGCAGATGCTGGCTGGCGGACGTGACACGTCGCAGCTCGGCCAGGGATCGCTGCTGATCGCAGGCGGTGTTGGCGGCGCCCTCTTCTGGGCCTCCGTCTACCCTACTGACGTCGTTAAGAGCGTTATCCAAGTCGATAATTATCAAAACCCCAAGTACAAAGGAACCTTGGATGCCTTTCGAAAGGTCTATGCCACCGAGGGGATGAAGGGAATGTACAAGGGGTTCGGCCCGGCAATGGCCAGAAGTGTACCTGCCAATGCCGCCTGCTTCCTTGCCTACGAAATGATCCGCGGCATGCTTGGCTAAAGCTGGTACCTGTGCCTTTTGCCTCTCCACCACCTCCATGTGTGTGTGTGTGTGTGTGTGTGTGCATTTGTGTGCATGTGCGGTGAATCTGTACAAGATGCATCATGATTCGTAGGTGACAGACATCGTATCGATTCTATTGAATGCACACACACACACACACACACACACACACACACACACACACACACACACACACACACACACACACACACACACACACGGACATGCATGTGCGTTCGTTTCTGTTTATGTGTGTGCATGTTCAATCACGACAAGATGCATCATGCATGTGGTTAGGTGGTGGAGGCATTGTTGGATCCATACAAGATGCAAGCGGTTAGACTGTCAATCTGTGTTGGGATGCACACAGGTACACCCAAGATGCAAACAAGACACATACAAGATGCAGGTGCATGTGTATGTGTGTGCGTGTTTGCGTGTTTGTGTGTGTGTTGAATTTTCAACATACAACATCGAAGACAGCACCCTGCCCTTGCATAGACCCTCCGTTTCCTTCAATTTCCTTCCAAGTTGTTCTCGTGGATGGAATTGAAGCATTGTCTTTTTTTTTTTTTTTTTTTTTTTTTCTAACAGGTGGAACCCACGTGGATGCAATTTCAAAAAGGGGGAAGGACCTTCCCTTCATTCTTGTCGAAAAATAGACCCGTGCAATCCCATCTGATCATGCACTTGTCAAAAAGAGAGAGAGAGAGAGAGAGAGAGAGAGAGAGAGAGAGAGAGAGAGAGAGAGAGAGAGAGAGAGATGACCGAAGTTTACCACGGAGAGAGGAGACTGTATTGTCCACCCCATCAAGCTTGTTGATGGACCCGATCTCGTCTCCGCTGACCGTTCGATCTAGTTTTTTGACAGATCGACTGCCGAAGCTATCCGTCACTTGATTAAACCGCCAGCACCTCCAAGCTTCTTTCTCCCGATGCTGATTTCTGCTGCACGGCGAGTTTTGTCAAACCAGCGCAGGTGCAACATCGGATCGTTTTGGCTGGTGTCTTCAGTCTTAAAGTTTTTGTTTCGGTAGGCCGAGCCCCAAAAGACAAGGCCCATTAAAGTTACTGGTGGTTTAACGATTTGATTCCGATGAAGCCTGTTTCCATTTCTTGTGTTCGAAATGGATATCAACCACATAGGCAGCTGGAGGAGACAGTGGAAGAATTCTCTCCCCCTATTTCTCCACCACCTCCCTTCCTGCTCTTTTCCCCAAAGGCAGCTCGGCAGGAAGAGTCTCACTTTCCTCCTCTCTCTCTCTCTCTCTCTCTCTCTCTCTCTCTCTCTCTCTCTCTCTCTCTCTCTCTNCTCTCTCTCTCTCTTCTTTTTTTTTTTTGAAGAAACAGCCCGAGGCTGTGTCCCAAGGGGTGATAAGAGCAGCCCCCTGTGATGCCCCCACAGGTGGATCCATTCCTATTGGTGGGGACCAGCACCTGCTGGGAACTGGGTCCAGCGTCCGTTAACAATAGGAACCAAAATCCAGTTTCCTCTTTCCGTCTCCCTATCTTTCTATCCATCTTTTTTTTTTTTTTTTTTTCATTTCTTCTTTCTACCTGTACCTGTTTTGGCTCTTTAGTTCTTTCACCTCTCAGATCCAACTCAGCATCAACTTGTCGGCTCGGCAGCCCGTCACTCTGTACAGCGTCTGCACAATCTTTCACAACCCTGCAGTATATCCCCCTCGGTTAAGGTAAATAAATTAAAATAATTTCTAACCTACTTTTGGTGGATTTCTAACCAGCTGATCTGATCTGCCGCATGTCAATGAGCTGGCAGTGGATTTGATCCCCTGCTGATACCATTGCTGTAGATATAGACCCGTCTGGAACAAGCTTTGGTCGTCGAGGCACAGGCACTGGGGGTTGGTATGCTGGAAATCAGAGGCTTGGGGAGAGGATAAGGCAGGGAGGCTTGGGGAGAGGCTTGGGCAGGGGCTGGGGGCCAGGGAACTGCATCCGGAGGTACGTCGATTTCCTGGGCTGGAACAATGGTTAAGCAGAGGGTTCCTTCACACCGAGGCCTGGGCGCCAAGGGGATACAGCCAACTATACTTTGGCTCAGCAGGCTGCATCAAAGCTTCAGCGTAGGCTCGGGAAAAGGACGCTTAGGCAGAGCCTTGGATGAAGGGATGCATGGAGAGGCATTTCTGGCTTCGTGAACTGCAACAACGCTTGGGTAGAGGTTCAGCAGAGAGGCTCAAACACAGGTTCAAACAGGCGACGTGTGGACACGTGATTGATGGAGGGCCGAAAATTCGCTGTCTTCGCCGACAGTTAAGCATGGAGGCCCCGAAAACACCCTCGGTTAACACGTGTGGAAGCGGCTCAAGCAGAGGCTCGGGCAGAGGTTCGAGCAGCGGCTTGAACACAGGTTAAAAAAACTGGCGTTTGGGAAGCGGGTCAAACAGAGTCTCAAGCACAGCTTCAAACAGGCGTTCAGGCAGAGGTTTGAGCAGTGGCTCGGGCAGAGGTTCGAAGCAGAGGTTTAAGGTTTACGCAGAGGCTTGGGCTTGAGGTTGAGCAGCGGTTCGAGCAGAGGTTCGGACAGAGGCTCAAAGCCTGCAAGAGGCTTCGGAACAGATTTGAACAGTGGCTCACGGTTCGCACAGAGGTTTTGGCAGAAATTTCACTGAAGGCACGGAAAGCGGGAAGAAAGTTCGATGCTCTGATTGGGTTGCAAAAAGTAGTGGAAGAATAGGAGTCACCATACTCCTGTGTGCTTCTCTTCTCGTAGATCGGCAATTGTTGGACTCTCATTGACTAGTACTGATTGATCATCATCGGTCACCTGGAATCGTAGTTAACGAGTTTCGTTTGGCAAGAAACAGCCCCTACTTTATCATGTCGTGAAGACCGATGGAGAGAAGATACCCGATTTTTTGTTCACATCATAAGAATTGTGGCGTGTCGTTTGTTGGTTGTGAGGCCAATTTGTCCAAATGATGGGAAGCCCCCAGAGGATGGGTTGTAATGTTACAAAAGTGAGGGATCTTTTTTTTTTTTTTTTTTTTTTTTTTTTTTTCAAAGAGTGAGGGATCTTACTGGCCATCCATGAATACCCATCCATCCATCCATCCAACCAACCATCCAACCAACCATGCATTTATCTGTTATCATCCTGCGCAGTTCTTGAGAGGATGCCATGTATTGTTGCACTTCAAAGAAGAAGTGGAATGAGACCAAAAAAATGAAGAAGAAGGAAGAAGAAGAAGAAGGAAGAAGAAGGAAGAAGAAGGAAGAAGAAAAAACAAAGGCAGAGAAAGGCAGAGAGACAGAGAGAGAGACAGGAAGAGAAAAACAGAGAGAGAGACAGAAAGAGAAAGTCAGACAGAGAGAGGCAGAAAGAGAAAGACAGACAGAGAGACAGAAAGAGACAGACAAAGACAGGCAGAGACAGGCAGAGACAGGCAGAGATAGGCAGAGACAGGCAGGCAGGCAGACAGAGACAGAAGGACAGACAGACAGACAGACAGACAGACAGACAGACAGACAGACAGACAGACAGACAGACAGACAGACAGACAGACAAACAAACAGACAGACAGAAAAGAGAGACAAACATACAGACAGACAGGCAGAGAGACACCTGTTGATTGATTCTCCACTGAAAGCATCTGCCTTGCTCCTTGCCTCGTTGTTCGTCAGCCTTGCTGTTTGCCTTGTTGTTTGCCCGCCTTGTTGTTTGCCTTGTCATTCACCCGCCTTGCTGCTTCCGCTTGTCATTTGCCCCAGTTCAACATTTGCCCCAGTTCAAGTTGCTGCTTGCTCTGTTCATTCCCCTGACTTGCTGCTTGCATTATCGTTCGCCCGCCTTGCTACTTGCCTTGCTGCTTGCCTTGTCATTTGCCTGCCGTGCTTGCTTTGCTGCTTCCCATGTCATTTGCCTGCCTGCCAGGCAGCCGGGTCAGATCCATCCCGTGCTGCTGCCTGCCATGCAGCCAGCCAGCTCCGTCCCGTGCCGCTGCCTGGACGCCTTCCTGCCCAATTCCTCTTCCTCCAACACCCAATGCCTCAGCATCACAAGCAGACAAACCAACAGCAGCACAAACCAGTAATAAAAATAATAATACTAGTAATAAAAAGAACTCTTTTAACCCCTGTTGAAAGCAGACAAACCAACAGCAGCACAAGCAGAGCCAGGATGAAAAAAAAAAAAAAAAAAAAAAAAAAAAGAAGCAGCAAGGCAAGGGTGAGGCCACTGGAGCCAAGGTTTATTGTTTAGCAAAGAGTTCGTCCAAAGGCCCAAATCAGCAGCTCTGGCGACTAAGAGAATTTCCGACAGGCAAGGAGGGCGAGAGGAACAAACAGGCTGAAGGCCTGGGTAAGTAAGGTCCTACCTTCCTTCCCCCGAATACAACGCACCGTCATTGTACCTGTACTTGGACTGAAAGATGCCCCACATACAGCTATAATCACTGTGTGTTGTATTCGCGGGAAGAAGGTACTACTGTAGTACCAAGGCAGTGGGGTAGGGTAGCCGGGGTAGGGTAGCCGGCCTAGTAACTCAGGACCGTAGAAAAGTAGAAGAGGGTAGGTAACCTAGGCAGGGGTGAGGGATGGTACATCCTTCCTTCAGGAAAAATAAGTTTAAATAACCAATGCCGTCCTTTGGGCCATCCCGCAATAAGGGGGATGAGCATGGGTGACTTGTCGGGGCCATAGTAACCGGACTGAACCCCAAGACCACCTGCGGCGCGCTTAGTGCCAACCGACTGTGATAGTCCGCGTGATACCCCTCATCGGTATTAATAGGGTCGATGACCAACATGGGTGTGAGTGTTAGTGTGAGTGGGGTTGTGTGTGGTGTGTGGGAGAGTGTTGGCCATAGCCACTGCTGCTACTCTGCTACTCGGTGGGGGGTGGGGGAAGTAGATGGGAGGCACAGCCACTGGCAAAATGCTCGGTCCTTGCATTAACCCCCACCCCACTGGCGGGCCCACCCTACTCCCTGACGACCGCTGGATTAGGGCGGGGTGCAACTTGCATCCCCTTAATTGTGAGAGGTAGCTATGCTTGCAGCGCTCCCCTGTATAGGCGTAGCCGTAGTGGTAGATAGATAGTGAAAGGTGAAATTGAGAGAAGAATGTAAGTTAGTTTTTTTTGGAAAGAAAAAGAAAAAAAAAACGGACTGACGCTCCCCAGAATGGAAAAGGAGCCAGAACCCTAAGGATCTGTTTTGTCCTTCGGGACATCTGTTAAAATTGGAACGACACACAGAGACAGAAGATTAACATACATCGAAATTTCTGCGCAAGGATGATACGCATACATCGGGAAATGGTAAGGATCTGTTTTTTTTTTTTTTTTTTTTTTTTTAAGGCAAGGGTGAGGCAACACGGCGTTGTAGGACAAGCAGCAGCAAGGCGCATACTAGGCTGGAGGGCCGAGGGAAAGTGGATAGGCAGCCCAACACAACAAGGCAAGCAGTAGGGCGGCACTATGACCCACTACTTGATGTTGCACCGCTTGCCTTGTCACTTGGCTGCCCTTTTGCCTTGTTGTCTTGCTACAGGCCACAAGTGATTAACGGGGACCCCCACTTTCAGCTCCTGGGTAAACAGGTCCAAAACTGAAACACAAGGCAGCAGAAGTGTAAGGAAAAGGGGCAGCCAAGCGACAAGGCAAGCAGTGCGACCTGATGAGCAGTGACCAGCCAAGCAGCAAGCCAATAAGGCAGTGAGCTCCATTACCAAACGAGTCGCCCGAGTGATCTTGGTTTCCCGATCGGCCCGGCCGGGCAAAGGCCAGGGAAGTTCCCTGTAAAAAGAAAAAAAGAAAAAAAAAAAGTATATGTTGTGCAGAAAATTAAACTGGACAACTTTTGCCCCGGGTCACACCGAGATTATTTGCCAAATTGGAAATTAAAATCATTTTTTTATTTTTTTATTTTTTTATTTTTTTGTTTCCGGCCCTTGCTGGGCAGGTGATCCTTGGCTGCACTGGTAACGTAGGCATTGTGGCAACACGAGAGCGAGGGACAAGGGAGCAAAGACAGCAAGGCAGCAAAGCAAAAGGGGGCAAGGGAAAATGAAGCCATGCAAAAGGTAGCGAGGCAAAAGGCTGCAAGGCAAAAGACTGCGAGGCAGAAGGCTGGGAGGCAACACGGAAAGAGTAGGCAAGTGGATGGGCAACAAGGCTGGTAGGCAGCACAGACAGAGCGGTCGACAGACTCGACACAACCAACACGGACCAAAGAAGCCCATCACCTACTCAAACCACAACGTAGAACACCGCAGTTTAGGGGGACAAAAAAAAAACAAAAACAAAAAAAAAAACACCTCAGATTCCTGGTTCACACCACCCTCACGGGCATGAAGCAGCGTAAGGGAACATCCCTCCTGATAGCGTTGTCAGTCCAAGCAAACATGCACCGACTGTTTGGCACAACGTGAAGGTGCTCCCGTACGCACATAAGAACAGCACTCAGAATATCCGTTCAAATTGGAACAACACAGAGAAGATTTGCATCTGGGTGAAAAAAAAGATAAGAAAGAAAGACAAGAAAAGCAGCAAGCGATACATACATGATGATTGTGTGTGTGTGTGTGTGTGTGTGTGTGTGTGTGTGTGTGTGTGTGTGTGTGTGTGTGTGATCAGAGCTGGTCAGAACAGACCACGTAAGAAAAGTACTTGGAATAAAAAACAGGAATGAAGTTCAATGAACTGATGAAATACAGACCCAAGTTCGAAATTAATCAGGTGAATACTGAATCACCTGAGGTCGGTCAGTTCAATGGTGATATCTCATTGTCATCGCCCTTTTGGGGAGGGGGGGGGGAGGGAGGAGAAGCAAAAGAAAAAGAAAGGAATGTATTTAAATAAAGAAATATTACACATAATGTCAAATATGTATATATATATATATATATATATATCATTGTATGATTGTTATGTGTCCCCATGAACCACTAACATAAGATATTTAGAGGGACGAAGCGGGAAGTCGGCGCCGTAGCGCTCTGCTCCCGTCACGCGAGCGGCACAGTCTTAGGGTTTAGCCATAGCCGCGCGGAGCTTAACCACCATGCCCGGAGCGCGCAGCACGGGGAAGGGCGGTCTTGCAGTGGTCGAACCACACTGGATAGCTCAAGCAACAGAGACACTACCTTGCCCAGGGCTGAGAGGAGGGAGTGGGCAGGCCCTCTGAGGAGGGGAGGCAGGCAGCATGGGGTTCCAAACAGGAGCTGCGGAGCAGAACGACAGAGAGGTGGCAGCATTGAAGACGTCAACATCACGAACAAGTCGAACACTTCTGAACATTTCCGAACACTTATGAGCCGAAGAACGCTGAAAGCGTCCTTCCCATGGAACACTTTGAAACGCAAAGAGAGGAGAGCAAGGATAACATACAAGATCACGAAAGGAACTTCAAAGGAGCAATACTCGACCTTGTGGGAGCTAGGTCCTTGTGTAAAAGACGAGAGAGAGAGAGACACACACACACACACACACACACACAAAGAGAGAGAGAGAGAGAGAGAGAGAGAGAGAGAGAGAGAGAGAGAGAGAGAGAGAGAGAGAGAGA